TTTTTTCCACTGTTAAAGGCAGCATTATGATTTTACGCAAAAGTTGGAAAAAAAACATGGTATATTCAAATAAAATAATATTTATATACCAATAATCAAACATATTGCATGCATGAATGGCTTTCATCAACAAATATGTCTCGTCGTTCTCAAGACAAATTTCGTATTATATTTCAAATAGCTACTTCCTTCCGCTAAAGATCAAAGAAGTTCCGAATCTCGGTCTACAATATCGTTTGTACAACTCTCTTCGAAGTTTCCTCCCCATTACTTAACTACAATTTTGTCGTTTCAACGTTCCGTTTCGTTCAAATGTTAAGACCCTATACATGTCGATTTAACCTTATTTATGCATTGCTATTTTATAATAGAACGGTGATAACAAGCACACAGTCAACCTGATGGTAAGTGGATATTGTGGGCCTCAAACATCTACATTTAGCCTCAGTTAAGAATCAAAATCAAAAAACACAACAGCATTAAGCTGCTATTTCACGACGGTATGCTGTTAGAGCGTGGTCATTCTCCGGTCGAGCCGACACTGTTCGCTAAAATAAGTTGTGTATCGCCAGCAACACAAATCAGGAATTTGCATTTAGAAAAACCCAAAATTAGGGGCTTTTTAGGTGCTAATTAGGTGCCAAGTTTAAAAATTAGGTGCTCTAAAATTTTCACCGCAACGAACTGTTGAAATTTGCGTTGCAGGAATATTGACATAGTTACTTCTGCAACGGCTTCCGCGCAGCGGGGAGTGCAGGCCCTTCGCCCTTGCGTAGCAAATCACAAGCACCCATGTTCACCTCCGCGGCTTTGGCTTATTAGACCAGCCTCAGCCTCTACGGCTCTTACGGATGTCTGCGTTTTACCACAGCGGGCGGGGGCTACTCTCGATCTCGATTTACAAAAACACTCTAGGGGTAGGGCAGACACGACTACGTGGAGTCGGAGCGTTCTGATTTGGTTTTAGTACAGATTCGATCTATCTTATCTGTAATATATAAGTGATAAAGCACAAAAATGCCATTCATACCTTATAGTAAGGTAATTGTGGTCCTTGACCCGATAATTCCCAGAATATTACCGTCATCTACATCCGACCCCAATAATCTTTTAACACTTAATTAGCACTTAATTCCTTGCTATTAATATTTATCGTATATCTATTATCATCACTGCGTTGCTAGCAATACGTTTTGCCAGCAACGCAAATTTCAACCTGTCGTTGCGGTGAAAATTTTAAATCACCTAATTTTTAAACTTGGCACTTAATTAGCACCTAATTTTTAGGCACTGATAAAGAACATAAAATGCCGTTCATACCTTATGTTAAGGTAATGGTGGTCGTGGACCCTATAATTCCCAGAATAATATCTTAATCTCTATCGGGTTTCGATAATCGGTCAGCACTTAATTCCTTGCTATTAATATTTATCGTAGGTATCTCTAATAACTTCATTGCATTGCTAGCGATACGTTTTGCCAGCAACGCAAATTTCAATCGTTCATTGCGGTGAAAATTTTAGAGCAACTAATTTTTAATCTTGGTACTTAATGAGCACCTAAAAAGTTTGGGCTTTTTCTACAAGCATTTTTGATTCTATTCTGATTTTAAGAAAACCTGAATTTTGTATCTGCTTTTTTCTGAAATACAATTTTATTTTTATTAGGGGCGCCTTGTCATTGCCTATACTTGCAGCACCTAATTAGCACTTAATTCCTTGCTATTAATATTTATCGTATATCTAATAACTTCATTGCATTGCTAGCAATACGTTTTGCCAGCAACGCAAATTTCAATCGTTTTCAATTTTAGAGCACCAAAGTTTTTTTACTTGGCACCTAATTAATACCTAAAAAGCCCCTAATTTTGGATTTTTCCAAATGCTCCAAAACTCCCGTCTTTGCATTGCTGGCGAGACACAACTGCTAAAATAGTGTCGGTACACCCGGAGGTGTACTTATTATTTTAACTTTATTTTATTATTTTTACTGTTTGTTAAATAAATGTTTTGCTGTTCTAAGAATAAAAAATAGAATACTATTTTATGCTCATGATTATTGTAACTAAATGCGACTATAAATAGTAAACACAGGTTGCAAAAAACCTTTCACTACGGAGCTTCGTTTTAAAATGCCGAATCCCTCTACGGGCAGTGCTGCCAACTCTTAAAATATTTAATGCTAAATTCATGTTTGTGAAATGCCAAAAATATGCTAAAATTTGAGGAGCGAAAAAGGCTAACACGATTTTACAAGTTTATTTTACAAAATGGTACAATATTCATAGACAACAATCAGACAGTCCCTGATACCAACAAAATATTCAGATCCTCGTCGGTATCTTCTTGGTCAGGTGCCAAATGTGGGTCTGGAGCAGAAGATAGGGATGCATATACCTCATTTGACCCTATCTTTCTTAATATTGGATCAGGTATATCGTAGGAGTGACAGCAGTAGTTTACCCTTTTCTGTCCAAATCTTACGTATAAAATTGCGTTTAATGTTGTTAAAGACAAACTTTTTCTCAGTTTTGTTTTAACCAAGCTAACTTGGCTGAATACACGTTTGAATGTGGCAACGTCTGCAACATTGTTACAAATCCAGCCAGTTCCAAGAAGGGATTGTTGCCTGGAGCGTCCTTGAAGTCTAGAACTTCACACCAAAATTCAATAGTGAATGATGTACACTGCCACTGCATATGATCAATGTTTCGGCATTGTGATACAAGTTTATCGATTTTTTGTTGCGTCCGTAGTAAAATTTGCGCTATTTCTACAATTTCTGGTTTTAAAACCTTCAGCGTTTCTTGTACAGAAAACATATTAATTTTTTGTAGTACTGCAAGGTTTGTTGTCAATCTTGCTTATAATTCATGTACAAGTTTAGGGGTAAAATTAACACATCGCCGTCTAAGGTTTTGTTCTACCTCTTGGGCTAAATCATATTCCCTTAACTTTTTCTCGAAATTGTAGCCCATATACAAGGATAAGTTATATAACTGGAAATATTTTGTGTCAGCACGTTAACTCTGGCTGTAAGATTAAGAATGCGACGACTTATCGATCCCGTTAATCCAATCCGGTAATTTGCAGACGTCAACATCTGTTGCTTTCAAAAAGTTTATTAACCCTTTGACCCTCATGTAAGATTGGTTTTAAATAAAGTTAACACACAATTTGTATTGTTACATTTTACACACACCATCTTAGGTTAAATCACCATTATGTGGGATTGTAGTTAGGCGCTGGCTTGGAATAGTAGTTAGAGTAGTTACTTGCCCTAAAACCCTCTCAGAAATGAGAGGAGGCCTGTGTCCAGCATTGAGACGTATTAGGCTGTGTGTAATTTTAACTTAAAGTAACTTTTATAATAGTAAAAGAAACCTATTCACTATTACCATATAAACATCTACATTGTGATCAGATAGATAGGCAAAGTCTGCCAAACTACTACCCTCCTTTGCTGTAAGCAACACGATCAATGAAGCAAACCTTTTCGTTAAATAGAATACGTGAAATGTTGACATCTACTTGTCCGATGGAAAAGAAAAGGAGGTTTTAAATCATGTAATATCATATATCATAGTCCAGGGGTTCCCAAACTTTTTTAGTTCGCGGTTTAATATTACGTCTCGGTGCCTTAGCTAGTCGAAATAGGTTACAATGATACTAGGGCACAAAGATCCAAATTTTTTATGTCTATCTATGCACAAAAATATAAACATCCACAAAATGAAACTGATAAGATGTTGCATCGGATATAAGAATTCTTAGAGCTTTTGAAAGTTGGATTTTCATTCTGGACCCGTTTATGAGCGTAAGTACCTATCGGCGAGTGAGTGACGTATGAAACGCGCGCGATTTATATTGTTTATTTTGTACCCGCGAATACCTAAGTTTAGTCTCCGGAAGATTGGTAAACAGGAGCGCATCACGGCGCATTTGCTCTCTACGGCGCACAAGGGCTTCGCGGCTCACACTATGGAAACCCCTGTCATAACTTGATTGTATTTATTCTCTTTCCGAATAACTTAATTTCGGTATTGGTTCAATTTCCCGAAAAACAGAAGCTGTCAACTATAGATATTAGGTTTAATATACATACCTGTGGTACGCACGTCACATAATCGTGTCGTGTCTGATGGGTTTATTGGAGGCTGAGATATAGTTTCAGAGACACGGGGACATTCAAGATGAGAAAAGACAATAAATCCAAACTCCAAAAAATACAAAGCTGAAAGCTTAGTATCGGCTGGGATTAAAACCCATGACCCGCCGCGTGAAATATTTTAATATTGAATTATTTATTGTTAGTGTAATATTGGCTATAATATTATGAATAATAAATGTTTTGCGGAATGTTGTCGGAAGTGATAAAATATAAGTAACACGAATATGAAATCGGAAAATAGGGATTCTATTAATTTATTTCATATTTTTAAAAAAATCTGTATTGTGCCTACAGATTAAACAAGTGATTTTTTTTTAAATTTTGTACTAAATAATTTAATATATTATATTTTTCATATTCCTACATTGTCATCGGATTCAGAGCCATGTTCAAAATTGCAAGATCTAGCTAATCGGGAAATGGTCGGAATTTGAGTTGCAATATTCCACAAGGAACTACAACCAGACAGATAAACAAACAAGAAAGTAACTTAATAAAAACTTGATGAATAGTAAAATTCGATTATTTTTATATTTCATAGGTTAATAACTTTTTCTAAAATTATTGGACCGACGTTAATAACAATTTTACCAGATCATCTAAACACCATAGCATACGACTCATTTTCTTAAAATACGGGGATATGTAAAAATTTGTACTTTGGAAAATAGGGATAACAATAACTTCCTACTGGAACGTTAATATGTTTGTACCATCTTCAAATTATAGAATATTATACAATGTTACCCTGACAAATTCGACCACAATCACAAACACTACCGCACATTTAACCATTTCCGTCTACTTACTTGATCCAATGTTTGTTTCAGTGTTTGACGCCACTGCGAAACCACCGTCAGGCATACTAAGCGGTAATGCAAATCAATATGGTGACTTCGACGAATGTTTGGAAATCGACGGCACAGTTCGAGGCAAGTACTGCTTGGCCTCTTTGCAAGTAACTCTGAAAGGCAACAAGGAGCTTGACCATTTGGACACTTTGATTCACAGTGGACATTATTTAAGAAGCAATATTACTGACGTAAGTACACATCATATAATTTCATTGGATAAAAGATATTCTAAAAGAATATTATTAACACTATCAGCGAATTACACTAACAAAGACATAGTAGCCTATATATTTAAATCTCTTTGTACACTAATAAGTTCACTTTTTTATTCGTTATTGTCTTTCTTTCAAATGCTTTTCTGCCGACTTCCAAAAAGGAGCCGGTACTCAATTCGACTGTATGTTTTTTTTTTTCGTTTTTTTTTTTATGTGTTACCTCAGAACTTTTTTTTGGGTGAACCGATTTCGATGATTCTTTTTTTATTTGAAAGCTGGTACTTCTCGTGTGGTCCCATATGAATTTGATCAAGGTCAGACCAATAGTTTTTAAGTTATTCTTAAATAACTTATATTGAAGTCGGCTGTACAAAATTTTTAATTTTAAATTATTATCGTAGTTCTTGTCTGTAACTTCCCAGTTACACGTTTTTTTTTTCATAGTAATTGAGCTTATTGCTTGTATCATTATTTATTCTGTGGTAATACGCATAGTAGTATCAGGGGTAAGACACAATCTACGCAACACTACGCGAAAAATTTGCTTTAATATACTACTTGGCTTAAAAACATCAATTTAACTATATTTTAACGATTGCGTAAAAATACTCTGTCATATTATGTATGCGTCTAAGTAAATAAAAAAATCCGGACCAATTATAATACTCTGTCGTATTCGCTAAGCCGTAGATAAAATTTCATATGTAACATTTTTGATAAGTATTACATTAAATATTCAAATTTATAAAAAAATAAATAAAATTGAGTCTCTGAGTATGATATCTAGAGATCTACATATTTGTGCCATTTGCTGTAGACTATCGGTCCGTGAGGTCCACGTGCTGGTGAAGTTCCTAAAGGAATTTTACCCACGATTGGTCGGTGCTGCTGGTGATAAGAGGGCTGGTTCTTTTCTCGCTCAAAGGCTAAGTATAAGTAGTAAGTAAGCTATTCAGCGAGGAAACGCAGCCAGCGTTCTTGGCACGATACCAAGGGGAGTAGGACTGTATGATAATTAAGTTTGTGCCGGACGGGCGAAACTCTCCGGAGTAAATGTTGTCGGAGATACCCCGCGAGTCGCTCACGTCCTACACCTGTAGGTTCCAGACTCCTCCAACTGCCGTCTTTCACTGCCGTCTCTTTGGTTGCTGCGGATAAACTGTGGACTGAGGTTCAAAATTAAAATGCACGATTTGTAAATTAAAATAGCAAGGGAGTGGCCAGCGGATCGACTAATTAATTTGTCGCGAGATTTTACACTGTTATTTATTTATCACTATTTTTCAACTATGATTGTTCACTATATATTTTAAAACACAGATTTAATTAAACACACAGCAATATTAAAATTTCTATTGGTTTTCTAAAATTTCTATTCGTATTTTTAAAATATCTGTTGGTAATATCAAATTTCTATTGGCAGTAACAAGTTTCTATTGGTATTCTCTACAATTTCTATTGGTAATTTTATATATCTATTGAAAGTAACAAATTTCTATTGGTAGTATCCAAAATTTCTATTGGTAGCAGCTGGTTTTCTAACACTACTGACTAGCAGCTATTAATCAACTAAAATTAGTTGAATTTAAACACTTTTGTAACTGCGAATATCAGTTACCACTTTTTCCGTCTAGCTAACACTTTTCACGAAATGTAACGGCGAAATTTCCGTTACCACTTTTTTCAGCTAGCCAACACTTTTTCACTATATGTAACTGCGAATATCAGTTACCACTATTTTTGGCTAGCTAACACTATTTTTCTATGTGCAACTGAGAATTTTCAGTTGCCACTTTTTCCGACTATGTGTAACTGCGATTTTTCAGTTACGACCTTTTTCGGCTAGCTAAACTTTTCTATTTCACTTTAACTTTTCACTGTGTTCTGCTACTAGTCACTTCAGCTACTACCGGATACTGCTGCTTGTTACTGGTAGTTCTTCCTACTACAATGTTACTATGATTTGCCCCCATAAGGTAGACTTCGGCTATACTCTATAGAGAGCCGCTTGCCAATTCCCATTTGTCTCTTTATTTTCAATCATTTTTCTTTATGCAAATGGCACAAATTGCAACTTTTCTATATAATACAAATCTTAACTCTAACATGCTATACATCATTAAATAGACATTTTTGTTCTACATTAGTATGCGATAAAGGATAATTAATATATTTACATTTAACAAAGTTATTCATTGAAATGTCCTAAACTTTTACACTAATTGGTCATATTAATTCTTTAATTATCCTATAACTTTTAAATCGTGCTTAATTATACAAAATATTTCTTTATTATAACGATCTATACATCATATGCTAACTAAATACCATATTTACAACTCTTTTCAGACATAAAATTATTCTCATTAATTTTTTGCTTAAAACTATTACGCAGTTAATTTAAATTTCCAGAAAGTTCTATAGCGCGGCGCGCTGTGATTGGTCGATATTTTCTTAAACAAAATAAAGTTGTTTATATTAACTATTGTCAAATCGACCTTCTATACAAACATATTGAGAGTTGTAAATACATGGTGAAACTATATTTAATACATTATTTAGTCAATTTTTCCGTATTTTCATTTTTTAAACAAATAAATATTCCTTAATCACTTTCTCGTTTAAAGTCATTTTTGCCGTTGTGAACAGTCATTTTGGCCGTCTCGAACATTTCTCCCGCCGTGCAGCGTCGCGAAGACCCGTCGCAGCGGCGCTGCATAATTTCGGTGAGAGACGTTGCCTCTACTTCGGCAGCGGCACGAGTTTTCTGGTTGGCCTCTTGATTAGTCCATTCGCTGTGCGTACCTCCACAGTGCGGATCTGTCCGTCCGCCCCGGGGTATATGTTTTCAATCCTTCCTCGTGGCCAGGTGTTACGAGGTAACTGGCTGTCAGCTATGAGGACTGGATCGCCCACCTGGAGATCGGGGCCTTGACCGTGGGCCTCCCGCCGGTTTTGAAGTTCCGGCAGATATTCTTTGACCCAACGCTGCCAGAACATGTCAGCGAGTATCTGGGAGCGTCGCCAGTGTTTTTTGCTGTTCGCATCTTTTTCACTAAAAACTCCAGGTGTTGGCAGTCTCGCAGATCCTCCCAATAGGAAGTGATTTGGAGTGATGGACTCGTTGTCTTTGCTGTCTACTGAGATGTGAGTCAATGGTCTGCTGTTTACTGTATATTCCACCTCGCAGAGCAGCGTGGTCAAGACATCTTCGTGCGGATGTCTCTCATGAAGGACGGTGTATAGTGCCGTCTTCACGCATCGAACAAGCCGTTCCCACACCCCTCCCATGAAAGGCGCGGAGGGGGTTATAAATCGCCAGACTATGCCTCGTCGGCTGGCTTCTTCTCGGAAGGCCTCTCGAAGCTCCTTGTCGGCACCGTGCATATTGGTGCCGTTGTCCGAGTAAATCTCGGTGGGACATCCTCGGCGCGCTGCGAATCTTCTTAATGCCAGTATGGCAGAGTCTGCGCTGAGATCTTTCACAATTTCCAAATGTACAGCTCGTGATGTAAGGCAGGTGAAGAGCGCCACGTATCTCTTCTGATGCTGACGTCCCACTGTTACGGAGAGTGGCCCAAAATAATCCAGGCCGGTGAACGTGAACGGTCTCTGGTGATGTGCGAGACGCGTGCTGGGATGATCACCGGTGGCTGGCATGGATGGTTGTGCCTTTCTTATGCGGCACTGAACGCATTGGCTTACTATTCTTTTAGTAGTGGGTCTTAGTCTGATTACCCAGTAATGCTGTCGAACCTCGTTGATGGTTGGTTCGGTCCCGCAATGATGCAGGCTACGATGCGTCCAATCAATATACAATTGGGTGATGTGATGATCACCATCCAATATAGCTGGCCCTTTCATATCTTCAGAGACTCCTTTTACAGCGGCTATTCGACTTCGTAGCGCAATGATCCCGTCTTTCAATTGTATCTGTAGTGGTCGTAGGCGGCTATCATGGGCGACCCTCTTATCGTTACGGAGATCGGCTATCTCTTGTGTGAAGGAGTCTTCCTGGATGACATGTACCAGGAGCTTTTCGGCCTTTCTTATATATTCGGCCTCCAGTGTGATGTATTTGTTTACATCTTTGCTTTTCACCTGACTGGGAGGCTGCGCGAGACGTCGCGGATTGCACTTCGATCTCCTCCAGTCGGGGTCTTCCTCTCTATTTTTTTTTGTCCTTTTATAAAAGGTCCTGTCGGTTGTTTTGCGGCAGAGTGTTATGAATTGAAGCACTCTGGCCGTAGCTCGCACTAAGCGTTCCCATTTCGAAAATTTCGTCGGATCGGGAATGGCCTCTTTATATAGCGGAGCTCTATATCTTTCTGTGATGGTGAGAGATCTTTCTTCACCAGTAGGTTCGGATGACGTGGGTCGTTCTGTTGGCCATGCTGACGGTTCTTTGTATAGAAATGATGGGCCACTGTACCACTCGTGGTTAGAGTCGAAATTGGGTGGTACGTCCCTCGTAGCGGTGTCAGCTATATTCAATTTTGTGGGTACCCAGCGCCAGTCGTCCACTTTACTATTGTCCTCTATTGCTGCTATTCGATGTGCTACAAAGGGTTTGTAGCTCCTGGAACCTTTCTTTATCCAGGTGAGGACAGTTTTGCTGTCAGTCCAATAAGTGACAGCTTCGGGCTTTACGTGATGCTCCTGGATGACAGCCGCAGCTACGCGACTTCCCATCACGGCGGCTTGTAACTCAAGGCGAGGTATGGATGTTACCTTGAGCGGAGCTACCTTCGCTTTGGCCATGACGAGGCTCACGTACACTTGCCCATCGGGTGTCGTTGCTCTCCAGTAAACTGCCGTTGCGTAGGCGCTTTCACTGGCATCTGAAAATACGTGCACTTGGAGGGAGCGTGCGTCGCTGTATCCCGGGTAGCATCTTGGTATGCTTACTGTTTTGAGACGTTCCAGGTGTTGGATCCATGTGGACCAATGGTTACTCAGGTCCTCGTCCAACT